GGAGAGAAGAGAGAGAAAATAGAGCGAGAGAAGAGAGCCAAGAGAGGAGAAGAAAGAGAAGAGAGAGAGAAGAAGAAAGAGAGGGAGATAAGAGAGAGAGGAGAGAAGAGAAAAGAGAAGAGAGAGAAGGAGAAAGAGAAGAGAGAGAGAGAAGGACAAAGGAGAGAGAAGGAGAAGGGACGAGAAAGAGAAGAGAGGAGAAAAACGAGAAAAGAGAGGAGAGAGAACGAGAAAGAGAGAGCAGAGAAGAGGAAAGAGAGAGGAAGAGAAATGAGAGAGATGACGCGAGAGAGAAGAGGGAAAGAGGACCGAGAGAGAGAAGGAGGAAAAGGACGAGATACGAGAGATGAGAAGAGAAGAGAGAGAGAGAGAAAGGAAAAGAGAGAGAGAGAGAAGGAGAAAGAAGAGAGAGAAAGGAGAAAGAAGAGAGAGATGAAAGAGAAAGTGAGTAGAGAGAGAGAGAAAGAGAAAGAGAGAGAGAGAGAGAGAAAGAGAAGAAAAGAGAGAAGAGAAGAGAGAGAGATAGAGAAGAGAAGTGAAAGAGAGAGAGGGAAGAAGGAAGGAAAGAAGATAGAGAGAGAGACAGAGGAAAGATAGAGAGAAGAAAGAGGGGGAAGAGAGGAGGAGAGAGAAGAGAAAGAGAGAAGAGAGAAGAGAAAGAGAGAGAGAGAGGAAGAGAAAAGAGAGAGAGAGAGAAGAGAAAGAGAGAGGAATGAGAAGTGGTTATTAGTATAAAATCATTTTGTCCCTAAGATTGATATTTGAAAACAGAGGGCTTGTATTTTATCTTAAAAGATTCAAATAATACTGAAAGGTGAAATAATTTCAAATATATGGTGAGGAAAGGATGTTAAAGTGATCGCTGGCAAATAATTTGTTAGAGTGTTATTTAATATAAATGATTATACTCTTTTTTAAATAATGTTACCGAAAAACTTATTCATTTCACAATCTCCTTTATATGGTTTAAATGGAGGACCAATAGAATGGTTCTATAGTTGCGAAATTTAATATTAACGGAGTGTATACTTGATACAAACATTCATTTTAAAATAATTTTTGATTAAAAAGTCTCAACTGATAGTATGTTGCACCAAAGAACAGAAATATGGAAATCACGCTAACCTTCGTTCTGTAGAGTCCTAATAGTAAAAAGGGCTATTATTTCTGTGAGGCATTAGTAAATTTATTAATATGAGAATTACTTGTAAAGTTTGATAAATTATGGCTTTCTTGAAAACTCAATGTTGATATCTTCTGTTGATTGGTGCTTTTGCCCAAAAGCATTTTTGCTGTGTTTGGAGACCCCCGCACCAAAAAAGTAGCTTTATGGTGTATCGCAGGATTATCTGTGAGTATAGAAAATTCATGTATATTCAGTATAGTAAAAGCATAAAATATAATTGATCAATATATCTATTGGATTGAATATCTGAGTGACTAATACGAGCAGTATCCAAACGAGTATGAATTAGTGTTGATTGTACGTAATGATTTTTGAGATTTGTTTAACATCATGTATACATTATTGTGAGCAAATATGGAGACATGTCTGATCTTTTATATATATAAATAGAGAGGATGAATAGAAAGTATACATTTTTATCTATTTCTATTTGATAACTGATAAAGAGGGGAAGATAATAGAGAGAGTGAGACGTAGATTCTCTTCCTTTCAAATACTCTTGTGTACAGTGTAACATAAAGATTCTATCTGTTGTGGTTGAGAAAGATAACATACAAAATTGAGAAGTACAAACATTGTTTAATTAGTCAATATTTTGTGTATAATTTTTTATGGCAGTTGATTAAATGGATGTTGGCTCTTTAAGGCATAGAATTGGAATTTCAAGAGATTACTGAAGTAAAATAGAGCAAGGAAGAGAGAAAGTAAGGTTATTGCAGTGTAAATGATAGTGAGAGTGAGTAGTGAAAGAATGAATAATACCTTTTACGACAAAAATGTAGGCAACTCACATGGCATTTCTTTGAGTATTTTCATGAAACTAGCAATCCAGGATTTTCATACTCTACATGTTTTATTAAAGAGTAATGTTATGTATATATTAGAAAGATAGTATATTAATCACAAGCAATTTTTTTCAAGAAATGTCTACTCGTAAAAGGGAAGCGATTGCCTTCTCTTGCTTTTCTATTCATTGTTGTGAGAAAATACTGTAAATGCTTGGGCATTATTAGTGAGTTGTTTGCAAGAAGTAATGTTAATTAGAGCACATAAATAGATGTAGATATTTGATGTACTTCTCATGAATTCTGCTTTGAGAATATGCTGTTTAAGCACAGTTTTTTTGGAATGATTCCATGTGTAGGAGGTAAGGAAACACAAATACATTTACCCATGACATGGATAATTTTGTTTATCTGATAAGATAGAGCTAGTGGATTACACATAAGGGAACACTGATACATAATAGTATTGTGTATGCACTTTGATAAATGTATATATATGAAGAAAGAATATTACTTCATATTGGCCGAA